TCATTCCCACTTCTGCAGACAAAGGTTAGAAAATACACGTGTACCGACAGTGTTTTCACACACATGTCGCATACTAGGGAACAAATAACATTAGACAACTTGGCCGGACAGACTAACCTGCTCTGATATCACTAGTGTAACACCTTTTTCTACCCCAAAAATATAATGGCAAATCATTCACATTTATCAGAGTAATATTTTGAACATAATAAAAAACACCTCAAAGGGCGTACATTTCTCAATAATTCAAATCAAAGTCAATGCTCCGTAAACAACGGGTTTTCCCAAAATTATTCAAAAATTGCTCAAATGGCAGCGGAACTCAGAAAGGCAAATCCAAAGTTTTCCTTGCACAACAACATAATCAAAATAACAAAAATCAATAAAACATAGTTTAACTCAAAGATCTCGACCTGATGTTACACTATCAGAGCAAGACCCTCTAAGTCAACCAAAAGTCAAAACTTCAAAAAGTCCTCGACGGCATCCACGACTAAACTTGGTCATCTGTACGTTATCCACGTGGAGGCAACATTCAAATAGGCAGGGTGAGTAAAACCATTCATAATAATCAATATAGGAATCAATATATAAAATAGTGTCATTTTCATATTCAACATCATCATAATCATCAAAGAAACATCAAAAAGCCATAATATCATAAATTACACCAAATTGTCACATAAATGCAAATGCAACAAGACTCATGCATGTGGTACAAATTCATCAAAATTCGATGGACATTGAGCCATCAACCCTCCATAGATCCCCATCAATATGATCGATTCTACACAAGAACCGGAGCACAACAAAATACCTCACATCCGCGCAATGGACTGAAGCCACAAGAATCAAACACTAGACCGAAGTCCGGAATGCATATGAATGCATGATGCACACGTCAACATCATCCTCATGATAAACTCATTAGGTGCACCATCATTCATCAAAATCATCATAATAATCATGTCATCATATAATCATCAAAACTCATGGAACCAACATCATTACTCATAGGAATGATCATACAATCATGTATTAATCATATAGGAATCACAGTCACACTCCTGGTATTTCATCAAGAAAATCACAACATCAAAATCAAAATATCACTGCCCAAGAACACAGTTTATGAGACTCTGCTACGTTCGTTGGACAGTTCGCTGTGCGAACTCGCGATTATAGCAAAACGCTGTTACGCACCAGCACCAAAACCAGCCCAAAAGTCCCTACAATTTCCTTCCCCAATGCTCCAAAAACATCCCTAAATCATTCATAAGGTATTACGACGATAAAGCCACAACATCTACGACTTATTAGGCCAATCCCGTATCATATTTACCTTACAATTTTCCCACATTCATTAGAGTTCTCATAATCAATTATCCTATACGGTTAAAACCTCAACAACGGATTTTGGCCACGAAGGTCTAATTTCCCTTACTCCCAAATCAACCTCAAACCTATCAGACCATCAGTTCAAATCCCTCAAACTCATTAAACTCACCAGAAAGGCAACAACAATTCAATTCTCAAAATCCCTAAACCCTTAAATCGGCTTTAAACACATTGAACCACATATTAAAAATAATGAAGGCAATATTTCCCATACCTTAATTTGCTGACTCTAAACCTTTCTTATTTGATTCTTGGAAACCTCGCGAAGCTTTGCCTCAATCCTCTTCCCTCAGAGCTCTGACCTCTATTTCTTCTCTTTTTACGGTCTAACAAGAATGAATCCTAATTCCCTCAAAATTCCTTTTTGTTAAACCTAACTTTGGGCCTTAAAATGGGTTTTCCAATTTCACCCTCAATAAATTTGGGGTGTTACAGGTACACCCCCTCCTCATCTCTCACACCCAACATCACAAATGTTGTCTCTGCTCCACTTCAGGTTCTGATCAACCAGAAAGATTATATATATATATATATATATATATATATATATATATATATATATATATATATATATATATATATATATATAAAATATATATATCATATGAGAATGTTATCTTTATATGAGAATGAATCTGGACCATTGAATTAAAATATATTTCTAAAATTGATTATTAATTTCTCTCTCCTTAAAATCGCCTAACTTTTTTGAATTTTTGGCATATGATTCATTGAAATATATGATTTATTCTCAACCTTTTCTTTTAAACCTGATGGTTGTTATTCATTCTCACATTATCGTATAACTTACCCCCTCTCTCTCTCTCTATCTATCTTTCTATATATATATATATATATATATATATATATATATATATATATATATATATATATATATATATATATATATATATATATATATATATATATATATATATATATATATATATATATATATATATATATATATATATATATATATATATATATATATATATATATATATGCACTAAGAAAGAAACTATTATATTAGATAAATAGAGAGAAACCATATATATATATATATATATATATATATATATATATATATATATATATATATATATATATATATATATATATATATATATATATATATATATATATATATATATATATATATATATATATATATATATATATATATATATATATATATATATATATATATATATATATATATATATATATATATATATATATATATATATATATATATATATATATATATATATATATATATATATATACACACTAAGAGAGAAACCATTATATAAAGAGTTACTTTTATCTTTTTGATCTTAATTAAAAAAACACTAGATAAAATTGTTCTCTTGAACTTATAAGGTATAAGAGGTTACAAGCTAAACTTGTTATTAATGTTTGATGTTAGAGGTTGCATGCTGAACACAGTATAAAAGTTTGGGGTAAAGGTTGTGGGTTGAACGTGTTTAAAATCTTATTATTAGTGGAAAATCTTGGTTGTCTTCTTCTTCTATTCCTATCTCTTTAAAAACTTTTTTAAAATTAGTTTATTTTTTCTCGTTTTTGAAAAACTTTCTCTTATGCTTGAAGTTACTTGATCAACACAAAAATTAATCTACTGTTTATCTATTATAATTCAATTGTATGAATTTCCAAAATTATCCTTTCATCACAAATTATTTACACTAATAAAAAGGTATTTTAGTAATCAACCAATGCTTACTTTTTTTATTCTCATCTTCTATCATATCATGACAAATGACATTCATTTATGCACCTCCACTATTTAAACCACAATTAAATATTATATGCATTTATTCTCTCTCTTCATTCAAATTTTAAATCTCTATCACATTTCTTTTTCTCACACTTTCTCACGAATCACTATCAACACAATATTTGTTTTATTTTAATCAACCATTGTTTTAATTTAAAAGACAAAATCCTTATTTTTAAATATTATTTTTTTCCTTCTCCATCTCACGATTCCTTTTTTGTTTATTCTTTTTATATAATTATTTAATACATTTAAATTTACAAGATTATTGTTCATTTTAAAATTAAATAAATTATTTTAAATTTTGTATTTGTATCTGAATAGATTTATATTGCATCAAATAAATTGTTTTAATCTCACAGATCATTATTGCATCAATTTTTTTTTTTTTGCCTTTTTTCGCCTCAGGAGTTTTTTTTTTTACATGATTATTTAATATAATTGAGATTGTATAATTTTTTTTATTTTACAAATAAATAACTATTTCAATTTTACATCTATATATAAATACATTTTATATTGTATCAAATAAGTTTTATATTTCACAGGTCACTAGAAATACAATACATGTTTTTTTAATCAATAATTATCTTAATTTAAAAGATAAACTATTTGTTTTCAAATATTAAATATTCATATTTTCCATCTTAGGAGTCTCTTTTTTCCTTTTGTATTTTAATACAATTGAATTTATATAATCATTATTCATTTTAAAACTAATACCTAATTTTAAATTTAATTACGCATATAAATATATTTTACATCATACCAAACTTACATATACATTTAAATATATTTTATACCGTATCAAGCAATTTTACCCGTGCTGGAGCACGGGTATCTTACTAGTTGAATATATAATAGATCAAAGTTGATCATCTAGCCTAACTTAAAAAACACAGCAACAAGACGAAAAAGCAAATAACATCACAATCGTATGGCATACAAAATAACATCACCTTTAGATGATGAAATCACAAGAAAAAAGAATAGTAAAGTGAAGGTTTTACTATGAGACAGACAACTTTCAAAACCACTTTAAGTAAAATGGTCAAGTATGAGAAAACGTGTTCTGACAATCAACATGCTTTCATACTATTTACCTTTCGCACTTTTGATTTTCTAAAACCAAAATCAGTGGATATTTTATAAAGAGTGCAAAGGCTCATACATATTTATATTATTTCTCCTATGACAATGAATACAATTTTATAATGATTGATTTTACCACTCAAAAGAGGGTAAGAGTGCAACTTATTGTCCATTAGCATGCTATTTATGTATAACCTTTATTATATATGAAATTTTTAATATTTTGTGAACGCTAAAAATTTATGTGAATACTACTTAATTAAGTAAAATAAGAAAAATTAGACAAATGGTAATTTTTTTTATTAAACAAACCCTCAATAACCGCTCTTCCCATATGAAGAAGAAAAATACATCTAAAAGAGATGGTGAAACTTCTCTCTAAAAATATAATAAATTCTTTGTAAATGTTATCAAATTTTAACGAGGCCTCTTTGTTACATAATTATACTTTTTATTTAAAAACTATTATATTTATAAAATAATATTCCAAAAAATATAAGAATGAACAATTTTATTACTCTATCCATATAAACATATTTATACATAAAGAAAGAGTTTAATGAAAATATTTGCATTGTCTAAAGTTCCAATTTAATGAAAATATTTATAAAGAAATGAAATTGTTTTTATTGAATCTATGACAATGAGAAATTAACGAACTTCATTTATGCACTAACTAAGAAACACAAGAAAACAAAATACAAAAATATTATTTGTCACTATTGATTACGTCTTCTTGTGTTTGAGATTGTGATACACACAATGCATCAGGATCAAGAAAAGAACACTGTCTAGAAATAGTGCTATAGCTTTTAGGATGATAAGCTGCGATTTTCTTCCCTTTTCCTTCAAAAATGACAGGATCATCTTCATCATCAGGGTTACATTTTTCACCTAATATAATCGTTTTCATCCAAACAGATTCTTCTGTTTTCGGCTTCACTTTATTTATATCCTCCTTTATTTGGTCCCAATTCTTGGCCAACGACAAATTCCTCGGCATTTTTAGGCTTAAACTAAAAGAAGTTTTTCGTTCTGAAGCTACCTTTTTCATATTAATGCCAGAAAGCGATTCTTTTGGTTGTAACATTGCAGGTGGAAGAGGTAACTCTTTCATCAAAAACTCATTGTTTTCTGTTTCTTGTTTTTGTTCAACGGGAGTAGAATTTTTATGTTCTGGTTCATGTTCTTCTGCGTGTTGCGGTGATGCTGGCGATGGACTGGTTTCATTCGAATCTTTAGATAAATCTAATGGTTGAGCTTGTGGTGGATCTGGTTGTGATTTTCTCAGAAATCGGACACTGCATATAGCTGTGATTATGGCAATGGAAGCAACAAAACTTGCTAAGAAAAATGAGAAATGAAGAAATGGGTGTATTACTATGATGTTTTCAAGAGGGGGTCTTCTTCCCATGACAAACAAACATTCAATTTGTGTGTTTTTTGAGGACTAGGAAGGTTTCCTATGCCTGCAAAGTCCTAAAGGAAAATTACAAGTGTGAGAACAAATAACAAGATTTTGCATTCTTTGGTCTTGAGGAAGGAATCCGAAATTGATTGCATGAGTTTAGGACTTTTGGATGGGATAAAAAACTTGTGTTTCTAATTTTGGTAAAAGGGAATTCAACACTCATTTTCCCTTGAAAATAAGCTAAAAATACTAGTGTATAAATGACTAGAGGTAATGAGAATAAGCTCCACATAAATTGTTTTATCATTTTCTACTATTCTTCAAAATTAAACTTTGGACATGAATGGTTGATTAAGTTATCTTCCATTCAAGTGAAATTTTATGTCTCAATTGAAGACACTTTTCAAAACTTTAATTTAGATCAATATAATATCAAATTTTGATCATTAAATTATTCTTTAAATCTTGTGAAATTCTTCTTAAAATTTTTTGAAAAATTTGTCTACACTTTATTTTTTTTAAAAATTGACCTAAATACCAAAGAGTTTTTTAAGAATTTTTTAACCTAACATGAGATCACACTTAATTTGACTAGAGAGTAGGCCATTTTTTCTAACATTGATTTCTTTATCTGTGAAGTCTTGTGCTTGTGTGAACCATTAACTTTTATGATTTTGTCATATACTGTTAAAAATAATTTTCTGTGATATCATTGATAGAGGAGCAAGTGCTCTTAAATATGATCTAATGTAATTACAAAGAAAATTCTTAAGACATTCTCATCATTGCCCACATTAAATTCAATAATTAAGGGTAAATGCTTCCTAGCTAATTATTCAGATAATCAAGTCTCATGTTTATGAGATTTAATCCTATTTAAATACAAAATATACAGCTAATTAATGTACAGTTGGTTCTAACTAGGGATGAAAATAGGTTAGGTCGAGTTAGGCTTTGCCAAGCCTAAGCCTGTCCTGTCAAAAAAACTGAAGCCTAAGCCTAACCTGTAGCTTGTCATAGGCTTATTTTTAGGCCTGAGTCTGACATTTTCTAAGGCCTGGTTAGCCGTTTAGCCTACACAAAAGCCTGTAATATTAAATAGACTAACAAATTAAAAAATCAATGAGACTAAAAGTTTGTTTACATTGACTTATTTTAACTTACCTATTAGCATAGGTTTTTTGAGATTATATATTTAACATAACTTATGAAAATAACTTATAACATTGTTTATAACGTGTTTTCATCTTATTTTCATAAGTTCTTCAAGATAACCAATTTTTATTTATGTATTTTAATTCAAAGTAGAAAACATAACATAACAATAATTAAAAAAATTATTCATATTTATTTAAATAGGTCGGTCTGTTAGACTTAAAAGGCTTTTTTTCATGGCCTGAGACCTAGCCTTTTTAACTAAATAGGCTTAGAAAAAAACCTAGGCCTTTTCTATTTAAAAGAAAACTTGGCCTGACCTGAGCCTGTGTAGGCTAGGCCCGTATGCCCCTGTTATCGGTCTGGTATATTTCCACCCATAATTCTGACAACCCTTTAACTTGGAGAGTGGATGTTAACCATTCACAACTTACTGATAATAGGTTGAAATGTAGAACCATTTAATCATTTTGTAATAATATGTGCCACTTATCTCCTATGGATACAAATGGTACTTATATTGTTCAATTGTCCAATTTTTCCTTGATGAAATGTCTGTTTACTTTGACATGTTCGTAATATCATGTTGCAACAGATTATGTGCAATGTTTATTACTGACTTGTTGTTGCAATATAGTTTCATGGGTCATTTCCATTCAATATGTAGGTCATGTCGAATTATTTTCAGCCTTAGGAGTTCACAAATTCCTAATGCCATAGCTTGAAATCTCGCTTCTACACTTGACCTCGCAACAACATTTTGTTTTTTTGCTCTTCCAAGTCGCCAAGTTTTCTCCAAGAAAAGTACAATATATGGAGGTGGATCTTCTGACATCTACATATCCAACATACTCAGCATCTATGTAGGCTTCCAAAGTAATTCCTTAACCCTTTTGTAAACATAATTCCTTTCCAGATTACCCTTAAGTATTGTATAATTTGGTAGACAACTCTAAGATGAATCTTATTGGGATTATGCATGAATTGACTTACCACTCCCACTATATAAGATATGTCTGGCCTGATGTGAGATAAATAAATGAACTTTTTGACTAACTTTTAATAGGTTTCTCTTGCCACTGTTGCATCTTCAATAAATTCACTAAGTCTGTGATTTTGTTTGGTTGGAGTTTCTAGTGGCTTGCATCCAAATTTACCAGTTTCAGATAATAAATCCATCATATATTTCTATTGATAGATGAAAATTCCATAATGAGAGTGTTCCACCTCAAGGCCCAATTTTTTTTTTAATCCGCCTAATTCGTTCACCTCAAACTCTTTATACAAACACACTTTTAAGCTATCCATTTCTCATTGATGATTTCATGTTACAATTATATCATCAACATAAAAAAATTAGTGCAACAACTCCTCGTAAGACTAAATGCTTAGTAAAAAAATTATGATCTCCTTGACTTTGTTTATACCTAATGCATGTCATCACAATAGTAAACTTGCCAAACCAGGCCCTAGAGGAATATTTTAGTCCATAAAGAGCCTTCCTTAGCTTACAAATCTTGCATTTCTCATATTTAAACCCAGGTGGGACCTCCATATATATATATATATATATATATATATATATATATATATATATATATATATATATCCTCTTCAAGGTTTCCATGTAGAAAAGCATTTTTGACATCAAACTTCTCTAAATTCCATCCATACTTAGCGGCCAAAGATAAGAAAATTCTTTTAGTGCCCAGTTTTGCAACGGGAGAAGAAGTCTCATGATAGTCAATCTTATATGTTTGTGTGTATCCATTAGCTACTAGTGTTTCTTTATACCTTTCTAGTGTTCCATTAGCCTTGTATTTAAGGGTGAATACCCATTTATATCCAACAAATTTCTTGTCTTTATGGAGCTATACTAACTTCCAAGTTCCATTTTTCTCTAATGCATTCATTTTGAATTCCATGGATTATCTCCACTTTTTTCTATCTATTGCTTTGTAGATGTTTTTTGGGGGTAACAGTAGTGTTTAAATGAGAAAGAAAACTTCCATGATTGTTGGATAAATGATCATATGATATAAAGTGAGACAATGGATACTTTGACCTTTTTGTACATGCTTCAACATCCTTCCTTATTACATTTGGAAGATGCCTAGCATATATGGATATATTTCTTATTACAATTGGAATTTGGATAGAATTTGGAGAGTAGCCGAATAGGGCTAATGTTCTGAAGAATTTGAGAGGGTAAGCGATTAATCAAGTAGGATGCAGTAAGGGAAACCTCCCCCAATATTGTTTTAAAACATTTGTATGGAATAAAGATGCTTGGGTAACATTAAGAATATGCCCAATTTTTCTTTCAAGCACCCCATTTTGTTGTAGGGTGAGAACATATGATGATTCATGAATAATACCATGTTCATTGAAAAAAAGAAGACAATGTTTGATTAAAATAATATTTGGCATTATAAGAATGAAATCTTATGCTGGTAGTATTAAATTATATTTGGCATTATAAGAATGAAACTTTTTGATGGTAGCCTCAAATTGGGTTCTTATCATTTGAAAAATAAATCAAATATTTGATTGACTTCACTTTTTTGCCTTAAGATACACCTATGACACTTGATACAATCATCAATAAAAATGCTAAATCAGTGGGCCACAAATATATTTGGAATATTGGATAGGCCCTAAACATCGTAAGATGTCAATCCTGCCTTAATTTAATCATTTATATTGGGCATTTTTCAAACTCTTTTGTGTTGATTTGTTGGAATTACTACTTGAAAGTTTGTCATTCTTCAATTGTTGGAAAATACATTTGGTGCCTTTGATTTGTATGTTATTATGCAGAAAATAGACATTAAATCATCAAAGTGTGAGACACAAGAAAATTGAGAAAGGTTTCCAAAGGAAAATAAGAAAATCAGTAAGTTCGTTGGGCAAACTTGCTAGCGAACATTCACTTTACGAACAACTGGAGAATAACCAGCGAATGCTCCCAGATTTGAGGCAGTAGCAAAAGGCTTGTAAGTTCGTTGTGCGAACAAGCCAGCGAAGGTTCGCTGTGGCAACACCTTAGCGAAGAGCAAGCGAAGCATCCCATACTTGAGGCAGTAGCGAAAAGGTCATAAGTTCGTCGTGCAAACTTGTAGGCGAAAAAGTTCGCAATGCGAATAATCATTCGCACGATGAACTTCAAATTTGTCTCAGAGGTGGTTTAACTGTGCAGAGGCACATCAGGTGCCTAATTTGATGTTTGCTAGATGAATAATTTGTTCGTAGTGCGAACATGATAGATCTTGTATGTACTTTATAAGTACTTTTGACAATTTTTGGGGATCATAACCCCATTTTACACACCAAAACCTTATTTTCTTAGTTTTCTTCACCAAAGAGTGAGATTTTACACATAGAAGCTAGACTCGCATCCAAGTTCGATTCTTCGACGTGGATGCTCATTCATCTCCTCCTGAAACTTGTGAAGCAAGCTACCATGGTTATAGGTAGCTAAAACACTTTTGTGTCAAGATTAGAGGTAGTTAATCTTGCTATTATGTATTTCTTTTGATCTTTTGTATGTGAACAAGGTTTATGATTAATAAATGATGTAAATATTTTTCTTTTAATGATGTACTTATAGTTTGAATCACTTTAGACATAGATTTTCCAAGTCTTGACCTAATTTCTTCATCTATTAACCAACAAAATCTAGACATAGATTTGAAAGTTAATATTTTCTTTGTATCAATCTTTATGTTTATTGTTTCGATTGTTATTTCGAGAAATCATCTAGCGATTAAAACAATAATATTCATTGAGCCACTTTAGAAATAAACAGATTTACGAGGATACGGGATTGTATTGATCGAAACTAAGTT